TTATGTTGGAACTCCAACACACAGAAAGCTCTAGCATAATTTACTGGAGATTGGAGCACCTGTGTATGAACTTCCAGCATATTATGCTGAAACTCTAGTATATTATGCTGGAAGTTCACATGTAAAAAATTCGAACTCCAGTATATTATGCTGGAATATTTTCTAGATTTTGAATAGTGTTTTTGTTCTGATTTATCTTTATATGAAAAGTGGAAATTTTTTGATTTCTTACGAAACTGTAACTATTTTTCGATTACCACTTATAAATCTGACTATTTTTGAATTTCACCCTACAAGTTCTCACTACTTGTCAGAGGCGGAGCCAGAAGCCCGACTACAAGTTTGACCGAGCTAATAGATTTTGCGCAAACACTATATTATATTGAAAAATTTATTAAATATGTGTAAATATTAAATTTAGAATTCAGTTATTAGCACTTGAAATTATCATTCTAAAATTCTGAATCCATAAAGTTGAAATCCTAGCTACGTCTGTACTACTTGCTATGGATAGGATCTTTCCACCTTTAATCAAATATCTCGGTTTTGGGCTCTGGGAAATAAAAAAAAAATTTGGCACAAAGTGCTTCCCCCTTTTAATAGCCTTGCGTGGTGCAAATCTGGATTAGTTGGGGCTTCAATACGAGTATCGAACGCCACGTAGAAAACAAAAAAAAAAAAATAGTTTATCATACACAATACTCATAAATACCTAACTCTCCTTTGACTAATTATAACCAAGATATCCTTGGCAAACCTTAGAGTTTTGTTACTTAGTAGTGGTAAGATTTATAGAAGGTGCTTCTGATTAACACTTTACAAAGACCTGCATGGTGAAATTAACATTGGAATTAGTCAAACTTGAATATTTATTTTCAAATTCTGAAGTTGCAAGTTGTCAATTCTTTTTGCCTCTTGCTTCAAATATAAGGAATCTTAAATACAAAAGTTGATTCTTGGTAATAAAATAAGCAACATAATTTATGAATATTGAACGTCTTTGAGTTTCACATTTGTGACATTCTACAAGTTCTCACTATGGGCGGAGCTAGAAGTCCGGCTACGAGTTTGTCGAACTTAGTAATTTTTATTCAAATAGTATATTTGTGTTTAAAAATTTATTAAATATATAAAAATATTAAATTTAGATCCTAGTTATTAGCACTTCAGAACCCATAAAATTGAAATCTTGGTTCTACCTTTACTACTTGCTATGGATAAGATCCTTCCACCTTTAATTAGAGATCTCAGGTTCGAGTCTTAGAAAATAAAAAAATCTTAGGAGGAAGTGCTTCCCCTTTTAATAGCCCTTACGCAATACAAATCTGGATTAATCGGGCTCCAATACAAATATTGAACATTGGGTAAAAAGCCAAATAAATCATTTATCATGCACAATGCTCTTAAATATCCAACTCTCCTTTGATAGAACATACCTTAGTGAAGAATTAAAGTGCTAAATAATAGTAAATAATTCAGGATTTTAAGTTAGTGGATACAAAATACAAATGCACGCATTAATTTTATATGCCTCCAGTGGGCAGATGATTATGACTTAATTATAAGCATATAAAGACTAGATTTGAGAGTTCAAGATTAATCAGACAAAGAAAGAATTCCCATGGATTCCACTAAAAAGAACAAGTTTCTTTCTTCTAACTTGTTTTTTGCCTTCCTTTTAGTATCCTCAAATCTCTTAACATTGTTCATTTCTACCTCTTTTAACACCTCTTGTTCTCTAAATCAGCAAATAGATATTGCTTCACCTGTTGTGGCTAAAGTAGCACCTAAATATGAAGCTGTTCAAGTATCTGATAACACACAATCTGATCAAAATCTTCCATCTGAGTTCCTTTCTTTAACATCTCCACAAAAACTCCCTTTAGGATTCAGCAAAAACTTTGACTCTAACGAAATCATGCCTCCAGTTGGTAGTCCGTGTACTTTGTTTCGCGATTTACTTAATCGTTACATGTCATATAATGTCAATGGTTCTTGTCCTGATGATGATTTTCTAGCACAAAAGTTGCTTCTTAAAGGTTGTGAGCCACTTCCTCGTCGTAGATGTCGTGCAGCTGCTCAACAAGAATATGTTGAGCCTTATCCAATTCCTGAGAGTTTTTGGAATACACCCTCTGATTCCTCTGTAGTTTGGAGTGGCTATACTTGCAAAAACTACGATTGTCTAGTCAATCGCGTTAGAAATCAGAGAGGATTTGACGATTGTAAAGATTGTTTCGATCTAAATGGCAAAGAGAAATCGCGTTGGACAGCGAAAACTGGTACTCGTCTTGACTTCTCTATTGATGAAGTGTTAGCAGTAAAGAAACCAGGAACAATTAGAATTGGACTCGATATTGGAGGTGGTGTGGCTACATTTGCAATAAGAATGAGAGAAAGGAATATTACAATTGTGACCACTTCAATGAACCTAAATGGTCCTTTTAATAACTTTATAGCTTCAAGAGGAGTTATACCATTGTACATTAGTATTTCACAAAGACTTCCATTTTTCGACAACACGTTGGATATTGTACACTCAATGCATGTAATGAGTAATTGGATACCGACTACACTTCTGCACTTCTTGTTGTTTGATATTTATAGGGTGCTTCGGCCTGGTGGTTTGTTTTGGCTTGACCATTTCTTCTGTGCTGGTGATCAGTTGGAGCAAGTTTATGCGCCACTTATCGACAGTGTTGGATTCAATAAAGTGAAGTGGATTGTGGGGCGAAAGCTCGATAGAGGCCCCGAGCTAAACGAGATGTATCTTTCAGCATTGTTGGAGAAGCCATTGAAGAATTCTTGGTAACACTATTTAGTGTTCCTTTTTTATTTTCTAACTCGGAAATAGGAGAGAAGAAAGCTGTGTTCTCCTTATATGTTCTTTTGTTCTATTGTACTCAAATGACATATGCAGACATTAAATACATATATATAACAGCTTGAGTTTGAATATATGATTCTTGTTAGTTAAAAACTTATATCTTGCTTCCGCATTTCTTGAACAACAACAAACTCTGTGAGTTCCCACAAGTTGGGTATGGGGAGGGTAAGACGTACGCAACCTTACCCCTACCTTAGAAGGGCAGATAGAGACGCTGTCTCCGAGAGATCCTCGAGATAGATCATACCACAAGACTAGACCTAAAGTTGCAGTTCTGATATATGCTTAACTACTCAATTCGCTATTTTCAGATCCATAAAATAACACAAACCACACAACATATTAAATACAAAATTTTTTGTAGTTACAAAAAATTAATACAAGTATCAATCCATAGTATTTTGTATGCACACATACAGTTATTTGTAAGTAAAATCCATTCGTATTATGATTTCATTTCCAAGAATGGATTAATCGATGAAGACATATTTACAGAAGGGATAATTAAATGTCTTTTATCTACATGACTAAGGAGGCAAAATGGTTAAAATTAAAGAAAATAGTTATCCACCCATATTATCCATCAAAAAATGGGTTGGATAATGAACCATTTAAAAACGGGTCGAATATGGATAAGAACCATATTATCCACTTAGAAAATGGTTAACCAAATGGATAACTAATTATGTTTAACTTTTACATTTGTAAAGCCTCAAATTGGGGTTCCTCAAGTTTGGAAGACTAAGAATTCTCCCATAAGTGATCATATTCAAGAGGTCATGGATAATATACATATTATCCGCCAGATAACTCGTTTTTTATCCGCCTCCAATACGGGTCGGGTCGGACAATTTATCCGTTTTTTGAATTACCCGTTTTGATCCGTTCATATCCGACCCGCCCATTTGCCACCCCTGTACATGACCAAGAATGGAGCAGCACATGGATTTGCCTTTTGTTGTTAGTAGCAAAAATTACAAGAATGCTTCACACATTCCATTCAGAATTCAAAGTCCATTTGTTTGTTTGCTGGAAATAATGGAAAAAGAAGAGGCTATAAAAGTAGATCAAATTTCTATTAGATGGAAAGGTATGCAAAAAGAGCAAATCTTTAGAGAACTACAGGGGTATAAATTCAGATATCTAAAGAGGATCTTTTCAACTATTTGCATTCTGAAGTCTGTTACTTTTTCTTGACTTTATTTCTTCATGTACTTGTATACACTACTATAGATAGAGAGCAATAGTAGAGAAATATGACACTTTTTGGGTTGGTCTCTAACTTTTGACCACCGCTAGCTTGCTCCATGAGTAGAATTTCAAGGTCAAAAGTTAAAACTATTGCCTTTGGGGCAAGCAAGGTACAACACTTGTTAAACTTGAAATTATGTCCATGCCCATGGGCAAGCAAGGAGCAACACTTGCTGAACTTGAAATTTTGCCCATGGGGCAAGCAAGGAAAAAATTAAGACCATCCAATTTGAGAAAATATGACACTTTTTGAGGTAGTTTATAAAGTTTGACCCCCACTTGCCCTATGGGCAGAAGTTCAAGGTCAAAAGTTAAATGTGTTGCCCATAGGGGCAAGCAAAGAGCTAACACTTATTAAACTTGAAGTTCTACAAATGGGGCAGCGGAAACAAAAATTCAAGACCATCCACTTGGAGGGCTTTTTGTGCAAAGCCCACGATAATCAAGATTTAAGTATGTTGCAGGTTTTAATCACATTTAATGCAGTGTCATTTGTATAAAGGAAAACCAGCCAAGACGACAATTTAAAGACCCCTAAGCACATGGTTTGTTCTTCTACCAGCAATTCTTCATTCATTTATGGTTTTGAAATTATTGGAATTTCGTGAGGATTCCCAAGTATGAGCTGATAGCCTAACTAATAGGTCCAAGTTGTTGTCTGCCAAAGTGAAGAGAGGAGTTTATTTACCAATTTAAGGCCCCATATATACATGACCAACAGGCATTAGCACATGGCCTTGCCTTTGTTGTTAGTAGCAAAACTTCGGCTCCAACTCAAAGCTTGTCTACAGCCTCTTTGTGTGTGTATATATATATATATATTCCCTTTTCCATGAGCCTTTTCATCAGCAAAACAAGCAATATCAATTAAGTCGTCAAAGCTGTCTATAGAGTTTACTTTCTTGGTTCAAATATTCCAGAGCAATGACAATGATTAGTGCTAAGAAACTCATCAAGATGGCCAGGAGATGGCAAAAGTTCGCGGCCAAGCAGAGGAAAAGGATTTCATTTCCAAGAAATGGCAGTGATACAGACAGTTGTAGTACATCTTCATCCTCTATCACCGGAAAAGGCCATTTTGTAGTCTATACAATTGATCAAAGGCGCTTCGCTATTCCCTTGGCATACCTTGAAAATGAGGTCGTTAGGCAACTCTTAAACCTGTCGGAAGAAGAGTTTGGGCTGCCAAGTGGTGGCCCTATTAAATTACCCTGTGATTCAGCGTTCATGGATTACATCATTTCACTAATCAAGAAAGGTGTGGCCGCTGGAGATCTTCACAAAGCATTGCTCCTCTCAATTACTTCGTGTTGCTGTTCAGCTTATTCTTTGCACCAAGAAAGTGGAAACCAACAGCTTGTTATCTATTGAGTAGTCATCATGAAATGATCATATTTTGTAAAATGGTAGATCAAAACAGATTGCAAAGCAGGTGATAAGTAGGAAACTAAAAGAGTGTATTACAACAGATGAATAGAGCTTTCAATTTTCAATTATAAAACTAAGAAGTTCTTAACATTATCATCATGGAATGACACTACTATCTTATTCCGGACAATTAATTTGGTTGATCAAAACTTCCAAATATATGAACTTGCAAGATCATGTTCTACAATATGCATAGATGGAAGTGAAAATTAATGCAACCTCAAGTTCAGACAAACTTTTGCAGCTTCTTTACTATTCTTTACTTGTTTAATGAAACAGAATTAAATTCTGTAGAACTGTAACGACCCACCGGTCGTTTTGAGAATTAGCATCCCGTTCATCGGCTTAAGGCCTTGAGCATCTTTGTATTATGTGTTATGACTTGCGTTTGTAGACGACTCTGGAATGGAGTTTTGATGATTCCAATAGCTCCGTAGGATGATTCTAGACTTAGGAGCGTGACCGGATGTTGATTTGGAGGTCCGTAGGTCGTTTTGACACGAATTGGAAAATGGAAGGTTTGGAAGTATGACCGGGAGTTGACTTTATTGATATCGGGGTCGGAATTCGATTTCAGAAGTTAGAGTAGGTCCATCATATCATTTATGACTTGTGTTCAAAGATTAAAGTCAATCGGAATTATTTTCGTATGAATCGGCATTAGTTTTGAAATTCGGAAGTTCATAAGTTCATTAGGCTTGAATCGATGCGTGATTCATGGTTCTAGTGTTGTTTGATATGATTTGACGCTTAGAGCGTGTTCGCATGATGTTTTAGGACTTGTTAGTATGTTTGGTTGAGGTCCCGGGATCTTCGGGTGTGTTTCGGGTGGGTTTTGAACAAGTTTGGGCATTTCAGCACTTTGATGATGCTCTGGAGCGTCGAAGTGCGGAGAGCACATTTTTGGAGTGCTGAGGCAAAGCCCATGTGTGGCTGCAAACTCCCAGAGTGAGGAGATAGTGGAAAATGTGCGGACTGCAATGGGCTTTGCCTCAGCACTCCAAAAATGTGCCCTCCGCACTTCGACTGCTCCAAAACATCATCAAATTTTCGAAATGCCCAAACTTGTTCAAAACTCACCCGAAACACACCCGAGGCCCCCGGGACCTCAACCAAACATACCAACAAGTCCTAAAACATCATACGAATACGCTCGAAGCGCCAAATTACATCAAACAACACTAGAACCATGAATCGCGCATCGGTTCAAGCCTAATGGCCTTATAAACTTCCGAATTTCAAAACTAATGTTTATTCATACCAAAACATTTTGACTGGCTTCAAATTTTGCACACAAGTCATAAATGACATGACAGACCTCTACTAACTTTCGAAATCGAATTCCGACCCCAATATCAATAAAGTCAACTCACGGTCAAACTTCCAAACCTTCCATTTTCCAATTTCACCAATTTTGCGCTGAAACGACCTACGGACCTTCAAATCAACATCCGGTCATGCTCCTAAGTCTAGAATCATCCTATGGAGCTAATGAATCATCAAAACTCCATTCCGGAGTCGTCTACACAAAGGTCAAACTCCGGTCAACTCTTACCGCTTATGCTTCTAAAACAAGAATCCTTCTTCCAACTTGGTCCCGAATCATCCAAAAATCGAACTCGACCACACACGCAAGTCATAAACACATAATACGAAGCTGCTCGAGGCCTTAAGCCGCTGAACGAGACGCTAATTCTCAAAACAACCGGTGGGGTCGTTACAAGAACAACAAACATTTCTCTTGCTTTTTAACATAGGAAGCGTTGAATGTATAAAACTAAGAAGTTCAGACAATAACAGGACAAAATAACATTGAATTCTGTTGATTCACAAACTCTGTAAATGAGGTATTTTTAGTGTGCCATCATATTGGAGGGTTTGAGAGCTGTAAATAATAATTACTGATCATACAAAAACATCAGGCAAATTAGTCTGACATTTTAGCACATAAAATGTATACTAATAATTAACTACAAACCGAAGTAGCACTAAAGAAAACGAAGTTTTCAGTGACGATTTTCTGTAGTGACCTCTTTAGTCGCCGACAAAGGTAAGTTTCAACGGTGAACTATATGTTGCTGTTTTTTGTAGCGACCTACCTTAAATAAGAGGCCTTAAAATCTGTAGTGTTAATTTAAGGTAGATCGCTGCTATCAATAATATGGAGTACGTCGCTGAAACTTACTTTTGGGGCAACTAAAAAGTCGTCACTGAAAATCTTTATTTAAGGTACTAACAATAGCAACACTTAGGTCGCGGCTGAAAGTTTCTTTTTGTGGCGACTAAAGCGGTCGCCACGGATGGTTGTCAGTTTAAGTTAAGTCGCTACTAGCTGAAACATCCTTTTCTGGCAACTAAAGCGGTCGCCACGGAACGTAATCACTAGTAATCTGTAGTTATTATTCAACTTGGGAAAATGCATAAATACCTCCTTACCTATAGCCGGATTCCCAACTACACATCTTTGCGAGATTTTTATTACCTCCTAAACTATTTTAAAGTAGAATTAAATGAAATTACTATACCCTTAGTGTTATATGGCAGAAGAGAGTGTATGTCACTCTCCTTGGGAGAGTGAGAAAGAGAGAGAATACTGAAATTTTATTTTTATTATATTTTTATAAAATATAGGAGTACTATTTTCTATTTTTTCTTTTTTCTGGTTTTTCTTTTCCTTTTCCTTTTCTTTCCTCCAGTTTTGTTACTTATAGATTGGCCGGAAATTAGCTCCGGCATTCTCCATATTTTCCGCGAGATTGAGTTGAAGATTTTATTCTTTCCTCTACATATTTCACTACACTTTATTAGGGGTGTCAATGGTTCGGTTCGGCCGGTTATTTTATAAAATTTGTATCATACCAATTTTTCGGTTATTCTATTATGTATAATCAAAATTAGACTTTTCGAAACCGTCCCAATCATGTCGGTTTCTCTTCGGTATCGGTACGGTTCGGTTAATTTTCGGTATTTTTTTAATATCATATAAAATTCACCAGTAGAAGTAGAATGCAATAACATACATTCTTTTATAGGACTTAGCAAAACTCTCTAGACATTTTTATTATTTAAAGGGTGATGAATTAAAAAAAAAGATGGCTAGAGTATAGATCCATCAACTATTCTACAACAGCGTAAAAGAAATCAAACAAAAGCAAAGAAAATATAAATCACACGAGTTGAAAGATATACCAAGTTGGGACTCAAGAATAAAGTCTATAGAAGATTAAATATTCAAAAAGATAAATCTAAATTATATGAAAGAAACATATTCAATACATTGTAGTTTGCTACTCATAATCGCTAGAATACTTTGTGTCTTGCTAATAAAGATACTTGAAATAACTTAGTTTAAATAGAAGTAGCATAATAGATTTTAGGAATTAGTATTTTGAGTTTAATTACTTGTTGGCTTGTAATAGTTTTCATAATTCCAAGTCCCAAAGAAAATTTACTGCATTATTATTTTTAAACTTACTAAATAAATATATTTTCTACATGTAAAATTTATTCGGTAGGGTTCGATATTTTTTCGGTTTATTTTTATAAAATAAAAAACCTACCCTAATTATCGGTGCGGTTATAGATTTATATAAAAACCTACAGTTTCTTAAAAAGAAACCTAAAATTCGGTTCGGTGCGGTACGGTTCTGTCGGTTTAGTCGGTTTTCGAATATCCATTGACACCCCTACACTTTATAGAGAATTACTGCTATTTTTAGTTTCTTCACTCACCACTTTTAAACTTTCAAATGCAATTGCTTCTCACAGAAAAGAACGAAAAATCTCGTCCCAATATCAATTTTCGATTAAACCACGAAGAAGCCCAGAAAAGACTGAACAAGAAAAAGGTTTTTGATTATTATTTGCAAAAAATATTTTCGCTATGCTCGCCGTTTCCCGATTTGGGCCTTTGGCCTTTCACTGCTTTAGGTAGTGGGGTGGGTTAGGAGAGTCCTATTTTTTTAATTAATCCAATTTACAAAAAAGAGAGAACAAAGAAGAAGAATTTGGTTGTTGTTTATTGATTGCTAGAAAGTTTTCTAGGAGCTCAATGTTTATTCCTTCAAAATTTTCACTACTTCACTTGTGGGTTGGGCGATGGGAGAAGGTGGGTTGTGCGAAAATGGAAAAAGAATTTTAAAAAATACAAAAAGTGATTTGGGAAAGGAAATAGATGGGAAAAAACAAGAAAAAAATGATTTTAATGGGAAATACATGTGTTAGACGCGTGTATTTCACTAACAAATATGGATGTGGTAGTGGCATTTCGGGTGATACTAATTCCATTTAAAAATAGTTCAAGGGGTAATAGGACCCCTACAAAGATAAAATGTGTAATTGAAAATCCGATTATAGGTTAGGGGTACTTATGCATTTTCCCTAACTTTTTTGTTTATATTGACACTTGTTATTCCATGCATAACCATACTCACCAATTTTACTCTGCTTCTTCTTACTATTCTCTTTATACTTTCAGTTTTCAGCTTGTAGATTTTCATAACCAATGGATGCAATTTTGAACTTCTATTACAATAGGTGGTCCAGCAGTTGCTCTTGGTGGGATTTCACTATGATTCCGTAAAGAGTATGTTAATCATCAAGAGAGGAAATCTTCTACTTTTCTTCGACCTTTGCCAGGTATTTTCACTTATTCTTAATCTTGTATGGTCAATTTCATTTCATTCTGTTACCTGATGGTAAGCAATTTCCACGTACAATCAAGAGGTTGTGAGTTCGAGTCACCCCAAGAGCAAGGTGGGGAGTTCTTGGAGGGAAGGATATCGATAGTCTATTTGGAAACAGCCTCTCTACCCTAGGGTAGGGGTAAGGTCTGCATACACACTACCCCCCAGACCTCATTAGTGGAATTATACTGGGTTGTTGTTGTTGTCTGTTATCTGCAGATGCAAATCCAAGATTTAAATTTAAACATAGATTTGGTCGAAACTTGAAAAAAAGAGTTTTTGAAGTTGTGTTGAAAAATAATTTTTAAAAGTTAAAATTATGTTTTAACATGCATTTTAATTGAAAAAAGTTTGAAGTTTTGTGAGCGTTAGAAAGAATTTCACCCAAAAATTGTCCTAAACAGATTA